GACTTTCAAGTTTGAAAAGGTTGTTACTGTAAAAGGAAAGGGGGAAAAAAGAAATTCATTGCTGAAATGGTTAGGCTGCCATGTACAATTCAACAGTCACTGGGAAACTTCTCAGATCTGAGATGTTCAGGCACATTACGACAAGGAGAAAACGCAGGCAATAGAGAATTGTTTTTATCACTGTAGCCAGGAGCGCCAGCATTGATGTCTTCTCATAAAACACCAACTCAGCTTCTGCAAGGGTTAGTTAAACCCAAGGATGTACTTGGTATCTGGAAAGTAGGCTTGGGAAAATATATTACACTGGCACCTGAAGCAGTAGCAAAAGTGACTGGAACAGCCTTTGCAAATGCCATTCCAGCCTTTCTTTGCTGGGCTATTACTGTGGACTTCAGGAATTAATGCACTGTATGAACCAGTCTCTATCCATAGGCACATCACCACTGCTATTTAGTAAGGTCAGACCAGAGCCTTATTTTGTCATGTCAAAGTATCATGAGGCTTCATCTTTGTCCCCAAAAATCTGGGGACAACAGCATGACGGTTTAAAAAATATCAGGTGAGACTTACCCTCATTAGACACTTGTGAAGTATGGAATGGTATAGAAGGCATATTCCATAAATTTGTTGAAAAGCTACAGCTTGTCTGAAGAAAGAGTGGAGTTCAGAAAATTCCATTAAAGAGGATGTTTCCTTCTCACTCACCTGTTACAGAAGCCACCCTCAGACCCCATGATGAATGACCCAGCATTTTTGCTAGGAGACCACAAATGATGTTGGAAGGTGTTGGAAGGTGTTCCCTCTCAGGACACTCATGGTTCAGAAGCTAGTATTGGGTTTCAGGAATTATCCTGGGGTTGATGTTCTTTCATGATGTGAACTCCCTAAAAGTTAGGGAACGGGTAGTGTAACGCAGAAGCGACACTTTTGCCACCCATTTTCAACACGCTTCTCAAAGGCAGTCACCTTGGAGCGGCAGATCCATGACACTGGGAGCAGAATTCCTGTGACAGCCTAGAGCAGAAGGAGGCAGCCACTGGCTAACCTCTTTCTCCACGAGCGATGACCTTTTGGATGCAAAAGCTCAACTGCATAGTGGCAAAGGCACCTGCCATTTCCTAAGCCTAGGAGGCAACCTCACATGAGCCTCTCTTGCTTTTGTGTGCACCGCTCAGCCAGGACTGTGTCTTGCCTGGACCACGTAGGGATGGGTGCTGTTAACATCCTCACTAGCAGCCTGGCCAGCTCTTAGGAGAGCTTGTTCTTGGGATGGCCACCCACACCATCAGCAGTAATTACAGTAACACCCCCTCCCCTTGCACGTGCACTTTTCCAGGGTGTTGGTGGAAGATAAACCCTGCTAATCCCCTCCTGTGCAAATGGCATTTATGTGCAGCTGGTGCAGGTAAACAAGCACAAGCTCAGGCTCCTCCTTGCCACGGGAGCACACCGGTCCTGGGAGACGCCCTGCCTTTGCCCTCTTTCCTGTGGGGAATTCACTAGCCACAATGCCCTGCTTGAAGTGGGGAACACAGGAGCAGGAATACACCCCATCAAGGCTTTGCCAGCCACTATTAATGCAGGCCATATTTATAGCAATAAACCAGAGCAGATACCTAAATCATGTAGAGTTTAAACGTAAGATGCCCACAGCCCTCTCTCAAGAGGTGGAGAAGCAAACATGATGCTCCTAGATATATGCTCCACGGCACTTTTCTTCCTTGTGGCCCACAATTGTAGGGACTTCTGAGCATAGGGATGAAAATACCTGTTGCCATGACAAGTGTGGCATATGCCAGCTGTCAACATTCAGTCAAGGAAAGATTTTGCCTCCCAAGGCCATACTTCTCCCCTCCACATGCACACCAAAAATAATTTGCATTCCTAAAAGCACTATGAAGTGTTTCTAGGCAGGATTCTTGGAGGGCTGTGCCTGGATCTAGGGAAAAGCCATAGCCAGGCACCACAGTGTGGGCTTTCCCTACAAACCATGGCAAAGGGTCATCTCTGAACAGGTTTTCAAAGTGCAAGGCAGCCAGATGGGGTTGCAAGTTGTGAAAGACCAGAGTTTCAGACATTCCTGGACCATTTCAAAACGTGTTTTGACGAGCTCAGTTGCATGGGGTTTTCTGCAAGGCCTTTTATGATTATATCTCTCAGTAGAAGACTCAGGACTGCTTTAAAGAAAGAAAAACAAACAAAAAGATGCCATTTAACTCCAAATACCTGAAGAGAGTAACTAGGGAACCCAACTTTGGAAAACACACCGCAGTGTTTATTTGAAGATAAAAACCACTGCTGCAAACCACTCAGGTCTGATTTAGATTATAAAGGGTGTTTGGTTATATAAATGCAAGGGATGTTTTAAAGTCTTCCAGCAAGTCCCTTTCAGCATTGCTACTCATAACAGAAACAAAGCCCAGGGGTCAGCCAGTGCTTTCACCAGACCTTCTGTGACTGCAGGGAGGTTTTATGAGCAGGGGGTTGAGTTCAGGGTCCTTCAACAGAGAGCAGGGGGATACACGGGGAAACAAGGCACTGCCCCGAGAGGCCCAGGGGGATCTTCTGCCAAGGAGGTAGGAGACTGGCAGTGACCTGTTTACCTGCTGCAAAGGATGTCCCCCAAAGGACAGACTTATCCCACCCTCCAAAACTTCCCCAGTGTGTTTGAAGCAGAGGGCTATTGTTAAGGGAAATACAAGGTCTCTTACTTCAGAATCCAGCTCTCCATCCGCACTCCTCCCATTCCCATGATGTGCCAGTTCGGTGAAGACTTTGTTCAGTGCCATCCTGCTCACAAGCAGAACCCACACTTTTCCACAATGGCATTTTCCTTTCCTATCCGTTTTCAAAGCTCTAAGGCTGAAATTTACTCTGTCAGGGACAACCCCCAAATACAACAATCCTGTGCCTTTCATACTGATCCTTTCACCAGTAGTAAATATTTGTGTCCTTGCAGGTGTAAAGGGTAACATGCCAACCTGCTGGGCTAAGTCTGTGACCCCCTGCCCCCACCCAAACTATCACCCAGATGAAGGGTTTGTTTGCCCTCCCAACTTACCTCATCATTGTTGGTGTCACAGGCAAGGACCCTGTAACACGCTGGTCTGTCACGTTGCCTTACACATGGAGTGACACAGCCTGATGAAATCATTTATTTGCCAACACAATGATCTTCAGAGATGTGTAAATGGCAGCCAGCCTTGTGGGGCCTTGACACTCTGGTCAAAGTGTAATATTTAGGATAAATGTACAAATTCCTAATCAGTACTGACCTCAGGTCCTACGTTTTCCATGGAGTCAAGAAAGGGGTTACAGACAGAGCACTTGGACAGTACTCTGAAAATACATTAATCCTTTACCAGTTTGAGAGCAAGCTTTGAGCTACCACCAGTAAGTCCCAGGCCAGGACTAAGAGAAGGGAGTCCTAGGTCTTCCTTGGTTGATCAGTCCTTGAGCTGACACCAGATGAGCTGCACCCTCATCTCGCCACAACTGGAAGCCGGACTGGGGCTCTGCTGTGGACTACCTTCTCCTCATTCCTAAAAAAAGACTTGTTTGCTGATAGACCTCCTTGGAAAACTCTCCACTTTGCTGACTGGGGAGAGGGGAGACTGCAGCAAGCTGCAGTACAAAACCACAGGCTCTCATCCTCTTACATTAAGTCACCATAGAGCAGGGCCTATTGGAAGGGGAAAAGTCACTCGGACATGGCAAGCCATATCCACACCATGACCAAGGCTGCAGATGGCCCTAGCCTTCTTTAATACAGCACTAGGGCTTTCTCCCAAAAACTTTTTTTTAAAGTTGGCATCTACAAATCACAACCTTAATGCAGAGAGAAAGGTGTGTACATTCAGCTCTTGATCCCCCAAGGCAGTCCATCTGAGTAGGAAACATATAGATCTTCTTTATGATGAAGTACTTTCAGTGCAACATTATGCTCCCCTTTAGATCTGTGCAACTCCATGAGCTTAAAATGTCAATTTGACATTCTGAGCATCTGCTTCAGGCATCTACATAACTCATGTTTCATCTGCACTCTTTTTGTTGCATTAGTGCTAAAAGCAGAGAAGGTGGTCTGAGAGACAAGATTTGCTCCTTGAGATTAGAAGAGGGCCAATTCATGTCAGGAATTAGCACTTCCAGGATTTTGTTTCCCAATATAAGGTAGGTATTAAGAAGGCATAGAAAAGGGTATCCTTAAATTAGTTAAAAAAAGAAGCAAGAATGTTCTCAGCCTGGCTATTGCTGCAAGGTCACTGCATTCCTTGCTATTTTATGTTATTTGAAATGGAGCTGCTGCATAATTTGAGAAGTTTTTCATTACATATGAAGTTGAACCATCTCTGAAATAGTTCCTGCTGAAGTTAATATCAAGTAATTCTTGTTTCCCACTGTCCCATTTTCCAATACACTACATTTCTGCAATGACAACTGGTAATTGCACAGCAGGATCCAAAACATTTTGGCAATAGATCACAAAACTCTTCAGGATGTAGGAGGAAACATGGCATTACTCAGGAAATGGAAGCACATTACCCAGTTAACATGATCAGAAAATTAACATTCAAAAAGTCATTTACAGGTTTCAAGGGTTAGCATATTAAGAGAGAAACAATTCAAGAAGTTTAGAACTGTTGTTTCATATTGCTGGACAAGTCCACGCTGACACCACCTTCTCTTGTTTGTGTGTTTATCTTGTTTGTGAGTTCCTTCTACCTTTAAACTGCAGAGCAAACTTCTGCAACACTGCACCAGAAGTAAAGCAGGGTCTGGTTCTGTAACACACACTGGTGTTTCACAAGTGGGTCCCAGAAGCCAAGAGTTTTAGCAGTCCCTTTGGAAGTCTCACCTACTCTTGGTTTTACACAGCACAGGTCAAATCTCATCTGCTCCCCAACCATGTATAGCCCCATTTTAATGAATACAGTCCCACAGGGGTTCTGCCTGCAGCAACACCAGAACTGACGTGTCGGCAAATAATGGACAGACAACAGTAGAAGTAACATTTTTGGTTTAGTGTTTGCAATTTGTTTTACAGTTTATAATGAAATACTGTTAGAGATATTCTACATTCATATGTTTCAGGCAAAATATAATTTTAAAATCATAAGGCACTTTAAGACTTCCTAAAACAAATGCTCATGATAAAAATTCAACAAGAGGGCTGGATGAGAACCCTTTCTATTCTTAGTGTTCTACCCTCAGGTCAGTAAATGATCAATTCTCTAGTCAGGCAGGCAAGTGAAAATAATCAATAGAAAGGTTTCCAAGACAGAGTTACTGCTGTATTAGTGTGCATTCTGAAGCAGTCTGTTTGAAGTGTCTTCAGTTGGGGAAGGAGGGCATGGTGTGAATAAGATGCATTAAAATAGTTCTTTGAACTGGGCAACAAAGATGCATTGCAAGGATTAAGTTTCATTACTTTCATTGGATTAAATTCCTTCCATTCATTATTGCCAACAAGAGTAAGGAACAAAAAGGAGCTGGTTCTCTCCTCCCTCCCCCCCACTCCCATTATGATTCAACACAAGATTTCAAAGACTTAAAGTGACCAGGACAGAAGCCCATGAAAAACTACATCTGGCCACTTCAGAGTATGTTTAAATATTCATTACTGACTTCCTGAGGTCTCACCTCTTATTAAAGAAAGAGAAACATAAAAGAATTGGCAACTGTCTAAGTTGCTTCCAGTCAAATTGATATTTTGCTTCTTTTTAACATGACCCCACTGTTCACATCAAGTACCTGCATTCAGAAAGGCACCAGCAGCTCCTCTTGGCAGAGGATGGCAGGGCAGAGGATGAATGCAGGCAGGGCCCTGGGCCCCATGGGGAAGGAGGAATGAGCAACTTTGCTTCACACACTTGTGTCTCAGCTTAAGAACAGCTTTGAAAGCTGGACATGCTGGGCTGCTGTAGCAACAAGTGGACTGATACCAAAACACTGTCTGAAGACTTCACTTGGAGATGCAGCTGTAGGAACTGCAATCTGCTGAAAACTGACAGAAAGAGCTACAGTGCTGGCAAAACCACTGCCTGCTTCTCAGGGCCCCAGAGAAGGGAACAGTAGGAACTAGCCCCTACCATCCATCTGCATATTTTCAAGTTGTGAATACCTATGATATTGCCCAATACGTTTTTGAGTCTTTTGGGGCTAACAATTGCTGAAAAACTTGACTCCCAGGGGCTCAGTGTGTTAGGCACCACAGCACACACTTGCATCCCTAGTCCTCTCAAATATACCTCTAAGGGAAAAAAGCCAAACCTAACCAACCAACTAACCAATAATTTGTTTTTCCTTTAAGTCCTTGATTGTTTTAAATTCTGACTTACTTGAATTGCACTTTAAAGCCCAGCAGCAAAAAGAAAACTTGGTAGCTGTGTTCAGGAATATATATAAATTTTTAAGAGACAAGGTATTTTATTGAGTCTAAAAATGCATAGAGATATCAACTGCATAAGCTGTCTTTGACCTGGCTACAATGAAGAAGCTGTGAAAAAAAAAAATTAACCTAATAAACCATACAAAATTTGGGCAGAAAGGGGATGCCTGTTCAGTTAGGAAAGAAAATGCAGTTAAGGATTGAGCTACATTAGAATCAGCCACCACTGGTCTTAATTCACCACACACAGAGGTGCTACTGTGCAAATAGGAGCTGTGATGAAATCTAAATTTGTGAAATGAAAAAATGCATGACTTCAAGGCAGCTGCTGCTAAAGAGAAGGGAGGTGGTACCTCATGGCCCTGAGCTCAAAAGATCTTGAGATCTCAACTTGTGTGGCTCATTTTCACTGGCAGGAGAGTCAAGCTCTAGATCACTCACTACTGTTATACCAGCAGGCAATTTAAAACTGTGGCTCTGGAATCAGCTTACTGTCCTTCAGCATTGGTGTGACTACGTTCATGTGGGACAGGAAGAAGGATCTGAAAGAGGAGATGAACAAAACAGGCCACTCTCTGACTGCAGTTTAACAAACAGCATGCAGTTGGCTTCTCTCAAAATCTGTAGGTTTTTCTTCCCATACAAACCTCACAGAATTTGCCAAAGTGACATCCAGTTGCTTGGGACATATGCCTTATTGTGTTTTAAAAATATACCTTTAAAAATTATTTGGAAAGGCATAGGCACATGCAATTAGTTCCCTGCAGATTTGTGCAGGGGGGGAATCATATGTGCATGTGGGGACCAAGTTGCAATAATTAACAATGGACAGCTAGATCATTTCTTCCAAATTCCAGTTCTTCACAAAGGAAACTGGGGAAATATGGAGTGCTGTCAAGGAAATGCAAGGCAAGAAATTCATGCTGCACACAGAGACAGACTGGAACATAAAAAGTTTCACAGACCTTGTTCTTCAGGTCACATGAAAGGAAAAAATGTAGTCTAATTAAAAAAAAAATCACTAAAGCTAGTAGTAAAGAACAGAATTATCAAAGTGCTTTAATATATAAAGTGTCAAAGATAATTAAACAGGGCCATTAACACAGAGCTGCCATAAGATGTTCAAATAGGTACATGTGTTTTCTGAATATAGGAGGGGACCACAGGTTTTTAATTTCCCCTGTAGGGCCAAAGTGGGTTAAGAGAAGTTTTTCTTGTTCATTTCAGCTTCTTAACATGATGGTTTTGCTCTGTTCATGCATTCAAAGGCACAGTTGGATTTGCTCTATCAGAAACTGCATCAAAAGGACTGTTTACCATGAAATATTAATAAAGGGGCAGCTCTCACTGAGCAAAACAAACAACAGCCTCATAAAGTAGATTTATAGATACCTCTCAATTAATAATATTAATTTTATAAGGAATTTCTTGATGCATAAAAATTGCGAGCTGTTTTCTGCAGCTTTCCTTTAAACATAGTTAAGATAACTGAATGTGTTATTTGAACCAGCCAACAGACTGCCACAGCTATTAAACAAGAGCAAATGCAAACAAATAAATAAGGAAGACGTTTCAAAACCACCTCGTGCAAGATGCTCAGACAACGTGCCTTTGCCTCCCTACTGGCTTTTCCTCTCGTGTTCTGAATCAGGAAAAAAGACATTCTCCACAGCACTTCCCCTGGTACTCCCATTAAGCTGCTTAGTCATATGACCTAAAAGATGGAAAGTAACTCTACCAAGCACAGCAGAGCTAACTGCAGCAGGGGAAATGTGGCTGTTTATAAACAAAGACTGTCAATCAAGACCTTTCCTGCAATTCACAAATATAAAAGCAGATCTGCTCCAGGTAAGCTGAGACTCAAAAGTGCGACACAGAGCACCACATCTGGTCCCTTGCACAGGCACTTATGGCCACAAGTCTGAAGTAATACTAAAAGTCTCAGCAGAACAACTTCTCTGTTTCCTGAAGGCATCATAAAGACAGCAACACTCTAGGTGTAATGGGAAGAGGCAAGGGGAAGAAAAATAACAAGTACAGTTAGAATGAGACAGTAAGAGTAGCTTACTATAACAAGGGAGAAAAAAGGTGGCTCAGTTCTATGATGGCTATAACATCTATAACAGCTAAGAGATGCTACACCTCTTGGCAAAGGAAGAGTAACCAGGGCTTGAAATAGTCCTGAACAAAACATTTCAACTTTCATTTTCAGTGGATGGGTGTAAAATCTGTAACTGAAATCAAAGGAGACAGAAAAGAATGAAACCGCTATATAAAACACTGGGGTCCATACATACTCACATGGCATCATTAGCCTGTTTCTGATTTACCACAGTGTTAAAAGATCTGGACAGTCTCCTTTGCTATGCAGGATGACCAAAGTCCAGTGAAGTTTCATGTATTAAACCCCTTCTGAATCCGCCAGTGAGAACAAATCCCCCTCCCCTGCCCCTCTGAGGGAGGGTGTCTCCCAGTCAAGAGACATTCCTAACAACCCCAGGCAACCTACAGGCAGTACGCTACCGAGTTAGATCTCCTAAGTAGCACTGCACCAAGCAAGTCTAGGCTTGCTAAGATGTTCTGCCCCTTGCATGGACTTGAGGACAATTTCTCATGAGCCCTTCAGGCCAGTGGCTCATGCTTCACTGTTCCATTATTGCTTTTCAAATCTGTTTTCCTTCCTGTCTTCCCCTCTCGCTCCCTGTTATCCCAGAAGGACTTTTTGCATCCTGTGCGCAGCGACGCTGGCCTCATCCTCAGAGTCAGACTCGCTCTGGGAAGTAGAGCTCTGGGAGGCAGAGCTGTAGGGAGAGGAGCACTCTGGGGAGCACAGGTAGTGCATCAGCGGGAGGCGATACTTCCCACAGAAGTCAACGAACTTGATTTGTCTGACGCAGCTGTCAAAGTAGACACCTGTAGGGGCAGAGGGAACAGGAAACACACGTGAGATCCCATGCCAAGAGACCTGTGAACTCTGCAAGGCTGTTGTGGCTGGTGCATACGCCTCAAACTAGGATTTAATTGACACCGCGCTGGACACAGGAGCACAAGGGGTACTGAAGGAAGAGAAGGGACCAGGATACCTCTGGAAATGTAAAATTTCTGTAAAACTGTATTTGGTAGGTGATTCAGAACAGCACACTCTTCATATAAAGACGCAGGGCAGTTACTTCCAAATAATGTGGCAATTTCTTCTAACCATTAGGGAGAAAACTCAGGCTGGGAATTTGGAAACTTCCTAAATGCCAAATGAATTCAGGCACTCTTATTTTCAAACTTGTAAAACCTCTTCTACCAGCTTGTAAAAATGCGTTCACAAACAGACCTTCACAGCTCTACTTTTCTTCTGCTTGAGTGAAGTCACCATGCTGAGCTTGGATGCTACTTTCCATGGCAACAGTCTTGCTGTAACACACAATTATGTTCTCTTCCTGTCAAAGCAAGTGATTTTAGACGCTGACATTTTCAGAAGTTTCCAGCAGGGTTTTAAGTCCTAGCTAGTCAGGAGCAAGCTTTTCTCCTGCAGCGCTAGAGCAATGCTGCAGTACTGTGCAAGTTCATAGGGCAAAGTGAAAAAGCACAAAATCAATCCACTGTTATCCAAGCTGTGAAAAACTCTAAAAAAAAGAAACTTTTCTTTCCCTCCCAACACAAGTTTCAGCCCTTCTGTCTTTGCTTATGGAGCATGCTTTGATACTGTCCTGTAAGGAGATAAGATAACAGCCTGCATTATAACTGCAGGGTAGATACTAATTAATCATTTTTTTTTTCTTAATCTTCTAAAGGCTAAATGCACAGATCATTTACTCTGGATAAAGATTAAGCATTGAGCCAAATTAAGCCCAAGCATTCCAGGCTTTTTTATGAAGTCCTTTCCTTCCAAGAACTACATGCTAGTAGTCCCAAGCTAGAGCTAAACAAGTTGCTCCTGAAGATTGCTAAGCACTAGAGCCACTCTCCTTTTTTCAATCCAGAAACGATGCTTGCGAAAGTTCTCCTGTCCATTACTTTTAATTATTTTAGGGCAGAAGGATCGGAAACTTCAGACCATAAAACCATAGCGGAATGCTGGGATGAGCTACAGAGACTCTGACACAAGTGCTGTCTTACATTCCCATGCAAATACAGTAAACCAGCACAACAACTTTGAACACTGTTCCTAAGTGAACAAGGCTGCTCAAAGACAAGTTTGCAGGAAACCTGGAGCCAGAATGTGGATGTGACAACACATCGAACCTGACAGAGCTACTAAAGTCATGGCAAGTCAGAGGGAAAGGAAATCTATCAGGTAAAAGCAGGAAGCAGAGCTGTAAAGGTGAACTTACCCCCGCATTTCGGATTGGGACAGTTGCTGGCCAAGCTCAGATACCGGACAAGAGTCTCCGGGAGATCGCTGGGAGCGTAGGGAACATTGCGAGTTTTGATTGTGCGTCCAGCAAGTTCCTGAAGGCTCGGGGGGTTGTAGGTCAGGTCACGGACAAACCGAACCACCAGCGGGTTCCCGCGCAAGCTCAGCTCTTCTAGGTGAACCAGGTTAAGGATCTCTCGAGGAAGGTAAGTCAGCAGGTTATTGTGAAGGCTAAGGGAACGCAGGGAATGCAGCCTAAGGATGGAGATGGAAACCCAGTCAAGATGTGCAAGCAAAATTGTTCCACAACTGCACTGTGCAAACCTGATTACTCTCCCCTCTCCCACCTATTTCTTTTTCTTTGGCTTTTCTCCCCTTTATAACATAAATTCATGCTATAAGAGCTGCTGCTAATCCAGCAGTCACAATGCACTAGAAAACTTGGCTCAGCTCCAGAATACCTGTTAAAGAAACAGTCTCAAATATGCTGCTGTCCCTCTCGGTGTTCTCAAAACCCCCCAAAAAAGGTAGCACAGAACAAAAGTGTATAAACTGAGCACTTTCAGGGGATACAACACTTCCTTATACCCAGCGCATGCATCAAGAGCAGTTCCATGCAATACTCTGAATAAGTCACCTGCTTTCCCACATGCATTAAAGAGGATTGAATGAAAACCCCGTTTTCATTGCTTGTGGCTGCACTACCTTGTGCTGTGATAGCACCAGATCCCAAAAGCTAAGCAGGGTCAGGCCGGGTTAGCACCGGCACAGGCGACAAGCAATTTTTTGGCTTTTGGAGGAGGCTTTTCTCTCTCAGGAAGCACAGAGCAATACTTCAGCACGGCATCCAGGGATGCTCCCAAACCAGTCCAAGTTATAAGACAACTGGACATTTTCCATCAAGAATAATCCCGCTACACCATCAAATTCCAACTCAGAAAATTCCATGTTGCCATTCAATTGCTTTTGGGGTTACAGCTACACCTCTCACCTTCACTTTCCATCTCAGGCTACCCATACAGAGCTGCAGTGTCCTCTTTTCCCCATTACAAACAGATAAAGGAGGAACTTAGCCCCTAGAACTGTGCTGTAGGATTTAACAAACACTAAAACATTCTGAGATCCTAGAGTAAGGAATGCCAAGGGAACACACGGGATGGTACAAGACAAAAGCACACACAAAACGTATCAAGCATTCATCACTAAGAAAACAGTAGCATTCTTACTTCTTACAGTAGCAGTTTCTCTTTTCTGAGTTGCCCAGGTACTTCTTAGGGCCCACTGTACAAATTCATTAATTTACCATGAAGTGTAACCTTGGTGACAGTTTTTTTCCATAACCCTTTGACTGAGTTTTCCATATCATACATTCATGGTCTGCCTGCACTGCACCATGCCAAAGATCTTGTTCAAGGCTAGTCACATTAACAAACTAAAGGACAAATAGGTCCTCCCAGGTGCTTTTATCCACACATGCAGAAGAAAAAGTTCAAAGAGTTAATTACAGCTTGTAGCTGATGACAGTAAATACTCACTGTGCCAGCTGAGGTGGAATGCTCTGGATCTTGTTGTCACACAGAACTAGATACTTCAGACAAGGCAGTTTTGCTAATTCAGGTGGAATTGAAGTAATAAAATTTCCTCCAAGGTATAGAAACTCTAAACTGAAAAAGAGAAGAGAAAAAAGTCCATTATTTAATTAAAATAATTTCAAGTTTCCTTTAACACCCAAGTCTTCACATCTCCTGCATTTCATAAATAAAACTTACAGATGACTGCATATGAGATAATTTGCTGAGAGAAAGAAAAAAAAAGGCTGAGTTGCACATCAAAATTACAACAGAGCTGCAGTTTCACAATAGATAATGTTGAGATTTACCTCCAGACTCCTGCAGTCACCATTACATCTGCAGGCAGGCACCAGACAACTGTGTATTCCTACACCAATGCCATGTGCAAAGGTCCTACTCCTACTTCCAAGGAAGACCAGCCTGCACACCCAAGGTCTGCAGCACTGACACAGATCCTGCTGCAGCCAGTGGGAGCTCTCAGTTTCAGCAGGATGAAGCAAGAGAGCAGTGTCTCTCCCTGAAAATCCCAGCCCTGCACAAGCACTAGTCGCTCTTTATGGTATCATTTGACTACTCAGTGACTAACTGGAACCTTTCAGCATTAATCAGAGGCAGCCAGTCCCCCTTTGATACAGTTTGCAGATCAACGACACTACAGCTGCCACAGCACAGAGTGCACCTGAGTTGCACAAGTACATGCATGCAATTTCTCAGATAGATTGGTTTCAGTATATTGAAGTCATGAAGCCCAAAGCTACCAAAACCATTAGCTGGACTTAACTGTAGTTCGGGCCTAAATGAAAAAAAAGAATCATTAGATGTCTTGGGATGGGAAACTAGTTCCCTTCTGCTAGGCATTAGTTCCCTTCTGCCAGGTGGAGTAGCCAGTATTTGCTGTGGAAGAAGTAAATCTAAGAAGAAAAACTGGCAAGCACTTCTCTTCAACATAATAGTTTCAAGTCCCCATTTCAAGGATTCAAATAGCTTTCCTTCCCTGTTCTCAGATCTTGTCTGGAAGAGGAGCAAAGGCAGGTTCAGTTTGGGTACTTCTTGCTAATCGCAGTCCAGACATGACTTTTTCTCATGCTTGAAAAAAGTGGATCTCACAGTCCTGGTTCAGTATCTCCAGTACACACTCAGGTTAGCTACCTAACTACAACATACATTAGCCTTCTCTGATCCACCAAGCATTCCTCACAGGTCAGGGAAAGTGAAGTCATCCAGGCTCCATCAGCCTTTCTTTAAAAACAGGTCATAACCTCCTTGGAATAGGAGACACCTTCATCTCACCCTAACAACTGGATAGAGATGGATACAACTGGCACATAAACACATGAACAAAGCATCCAAGGGAGATGGTGGTCAACCCAGAGGCCTGAACCCTGCAACTGTGTGCCAGAGCATATGTGGAGCGCCAGAGAAGCTCCTCCCTGAGGCTTCCCCTGGAATGGAGCACAATAGTACAAAGAGTCTATTTTGCACAGTTCTTGCAGGAAACTTGAACCCCAAAGATCCAATAACAGCATCTGCCACTAATGCAGCACCAAGGTCCATCTGCCCAACAGCAAAGAAGAGAAGGATAGACTTCTGCAACACACACTTCTGCAACACACTAGGAGATGCTCACAGAGCTTAACCTCCCCTGGATTCGCTTACCTTTGTGGAGTATGTCAAAGGCAAGGTAAATAACTTAAATTTGATGAAGTGGGTACAAAGCTAAGCCTTAAACTGAATTTGATAATATGAAAGGAAGTAACTACACTTGCTTCAGCTGAGAGACACATTTGGAGGTTACTCTGAACATGCAAGAAAGTACAGAGGGAAAAACCACCACCAATCCCCAATGCTCAAAAGCAGCCTCTCTTCTACACTGACAACCTGTAGGTACGAGGAAGGCTGCTGTGCAGAGACCACGTCAAGGAGAGATTATTTTTAATTAACTTTTTATCCCCTAACAAAGCCCTGAGTTTTAACCGAAATTCCTCCTTCAACCTCTACGTTTCCCAAGGTGGATTTAGGCTGCTTGACTCTCATTAGGAACTTAACTGCTGACCATACAATTCTTAGGCTTATTTTAACTCCATACCATTGCTGGAGCCCACACCAAAATCTGTTGGACAAGGGAATTCTAGTAATGTGGATTTCAATATTTAAACAAGGTTTGGATGTGTACAAGTTTACACTTTCTACAAAAAGTGAATAATTAACTCTTCATCCTCTGTGTTTCAGGACACCAATGCCTGTAAAGCCACATGGCATAAAAACACTTACTACCAGGGAAGGAGGAGTGCAAATTATACAGTATAAATGTTTTGTTCAAGGCATAAAATGTGTAAGTTTCAAGAGCAGCTTACTGTACAAACTTGGTGTGCAAAAACACTGCCTACAAACTACTTACAGCTTCAAATCCATTCTTTGTAAAGCCTGTGTAATGAGAATACTCTGTCATACCAGGTAGAATATAAAGCCCCAACATCAGAATATAAACTGTGTCTAACTAAAAATCCATAAATAAGACAACTCCTTCAGTGGCAACAAAGTGCTTCTTAAAAATCACTTTCTTTTTACCTATGTTCTGAATCACCTTTTTGAGGTCAGCACACTAACAACTCACTGGGCCCAGTCTGGTGCAGTAAATTCAGAATTTCCACATCAACTTAAGATATTAATTAGATGGTCATTTATTAAAAAAACAGATGGAGAAGGTTTTGAAACTATAAAGAAACTTATTTAAAACATATGAAAGGTATTCTTATAGCTTCCACTGAAACGCTGCTCAGTAGGCAAACCAAATCCAGAACTCCAGTCCCTCAAAATACTATTTGCTAGAAAGAAGGATATAGCCTAGTCTTGGCTAAGCAAGGTGAAGAAATTAACAACAGCCACTTCTGTATCACGTTAAGTGTCAAGAATCGTCTGAGCAAAGCTAATCATGACACAGGAAAGGATTTTCAAGAGAAACGACCCTTTTATAAAGAGCACTGACCACACCACTGTGGCCAAGGACTGTTCCCAGCTCAGCTACTTCTGGCCTGATTTTCACATCATACTAAGCCTGTATCTAGAGGCCAAGGTGATGCTGGCTCTCCAACTGTCCTACTTGGGGCAGGGCAGTTTGCTGCTTGGTAAGACAAGCAAAAGCACTGCTGAGCTCTGCCCTCCTCAGACAAGAGCCTGAAGCAAGGCAATCCACACCATTTACCACTGTTTTTGCAGGACCACAGCAGAGACGGAACTGAGCTTAGTGAATACTTACCTAACTAACCTTTCACACTAAGAACTGGTTCTTCTGACAATCATTAATCTGCACAGTCACTTTGATTGATCAGCTAAGGTCTTGTGCACTGCTGTGTACACAGAGGGAGAGCTGGAATTTTTTCTGCACTTTCAAAAAGTCAGTCCCGAAACTTCAAAATGCCAGAGAGCAACAAGTCTTAAACGAACATAAGCTCAGTTCCTATTTTTGAAGCTAGAATAAATGATGTACTTCCAACCTGACACAAAGGCTCTGGCTGAATGAGTTTCAAGAGGGTACAAACACTAACAAAATCAACCTCAACAAAACCCGAAAAAAACCCCAACAACCATCTGACAGAGTAACTAATGAGAGTTGACACTTTCTCTCCTGCCTTTTAGCAATGTTTACAAATACATTAATGAAAGGCCAAAGTCCCTTTCAGCCTCATACCCAGCAGCCCCCTGCTCAGCACAGCCAGTACTAATTGCTGCCAAGCAGCAGCCAACCCGCCGAGCCCATCATGTGTTGCTCCTTTCTAGCAGGGTATTTCACACCACCGGGCTGTAGTGTGGCAATGAAAATCCTTTTACATACTAGGAAAGGAGTGGAGAAATGCTCAAACAACTATGAATCAATTCAGGTAATGGCAGCAAAGTTTAACATGTCAAGAGACAGTAGTCTCTTGCTTGAGTATGTCCTTGATGTTTTTAGGACATCATACACCACAAATCAAATCAAAAAGCCCCAAAACACTCAGTAAACAAGAAGAGCCCACTCTGAGCACTAGAGGTATTTTTGATGCCTTATCAACAACCACAGCACTCCCATAGTCATGTTTCAAGGGGAGAATGTCTTCTACCATAGGAGATACTCAAATTTTCAATCCACCCTCTTTGCTCACAGATGCTTCTTTGAATAACATCTAACAGCTGACATCAAAGAGATGCATCTAAGGAGGCAATCTAAAAAAAAAAAAAAAAAAAAAAACCTGAAAAAAAATAACCAACCAACAATGGTGCCTGAAATAGCTCCAGGTCTTTTTAAGATAAACTTTTTAGCAAGAAATTTCCAGGGCAGTTTTGAGGCTCATGTAAGGGAGGAATTTCAAAGCAGCCCACAATACACTCCTGTTAACCCTGTTCTACGATTTGCTAATTCCTGAGAGAACTGCATAGCCTTTGCTGACACGCAAATTTAAGATCAAACGGTCGTCTGAAAACTATTTGCAAAACGTTTGAAGAGGGGAAGAAGAAGGGAGGCAGCAAGCAGATTTCCTAATGCTGCATCTTTATCAAAGCTCCACTTGCCCTTTTTCCCACACTGTAACAGCTGTTCTTTAAGCGTATGCTTGTCTAACATGCTTAATACTACCCACAAATGAAAGCAAATGCTCTGGTTTTCACTGCATCTAAGCCTTTACACAAAACTTGGATAAATCCAGTTAGGCCTTTGAGGTCTTTGATCCCAGCCCTCACACAACCAGGCTTTATTAGAGGAATACAAGCAAGAAGGAAAGGAACATAACACGGCTCTTCTCCAAGCTCTTTCTGCCTGCTCCTGGTGCTCTACTGCACATGAGAGTCTTCACTATAAGAGTGCAACTGAACTTGAAATTCACATCAGGAGATTCAAAGTATCCACTGCATTTCACTAAGCTCTTGAGAACTGTTCACTTTACAGGACACTTGCAGGATATTTCCCTAAGTGTGCACACTCCTTGCACCCTTCAGCCAAAAGCCAAAATTGCATGGTGAATTGCACTGAGCTGTCTTTTACTAGACTTGCCACACAAATTTTGTCCAGAATGGGCACAAGTAGATGTCCATGTTTCTAGCTCACCAGCTATAATACACATTACCCCACAGTGCATCCCCAGCTGGATCAGCATAGGAAGGATATGCAGAAGGATACAGCAGTGGATCTCGACGCAGATCACGGCTCAAGAGCTGCTGAAGGCTGTGAATTGAATCTGAGAGAGAGTGACTGACCATGGCATCTCCCACTGAAAACACAGGAAGGTCAGGAGGGAGAACTACAGGAAAGATAACACCTACTAAGCTCATATTTTATCTGGCAGGAAACAGGAAAGAAATGCAAAGAGGGCTGCTCTCACACGTCTGGTGCATTCACCACTCTAAATTCACAGCAACAGCCAATGCTCAGGTCTTGCACTGTACTGACAGGTATGGCTTCAACATGATTAAAAAAAGCTCTCAGCAGGGGCAACACCTACATTTATCACATGAGGCTGTTGCCAGTCACCCTAGATGCTTTCAGTGGAATTAGGATGAAAGAGCATTGCATTTTCCTAATGGAAAACACGATACAAAGGCTATTCATCCCTGGTGCCAGCATGCTATGATCAGCATCATCCTGCTGCCATCACCAGAGCAGTCATGACCATACACTTATGGAAGCCACATGAAGGAAGCTTCAAGCATATAGGTGGTCATACTACAACAGCCTAGGAGGCAACTGAGAGTCAGGAACACAGCACTCACTTTCCATGCAGGATCTTGCACTGCACACAAAACATTTGTGTGGGCAAGAATGGGGTAGACAGCTGAAGCTGGAGGCAGTAAGACATGACAGCAGCAGGACTGGTTTGGTTCTTATCACCAAGTTCATTAACTTGCCAAACCACCAGGAACATACGAGGGAAAGGTTTTTGCACAGAATGCCTGACCCAACCCCAGCTTGCTGTAAAGTGGTGGATTTACTATCTCCCTATGAATAGGAACACATGGCACATAACTCCCATTCCAGGGCCTTTGCATATGTAGTCACCAGCATGTTCATTCTCCTTTGGCTGATCAGACCCATCAGTTTTGTATTCTTTCAACTTCACCACGTACACAGAGTCCTTACCTGCTACATGTCTTGTCTTCACCAGAACTGATGTGCTACCCCTTCAGAAACTGCAACAGTAAACCATGGGGTGCAAAGACATGAGGTTTAGTTATCAAGAATATTTTTTTTAAAAAATCTCATCACAGGTCAGACATTCCCTGGAAACATTCAGAAGTACTTCTAGATCTCTGCAACTCCAGTCTGCTCTATAATCAGTGACTGGAGCAAATGGGGAGCTGCCAGGGTCACAGGAGGAGAACTACTGGCCTGAGGAACTCTGAGTAATAGCAGGAGGAATGTGTCCGGTCAAAGTGCTGCCTGCATTCCTCTGTGGTCTCAGAGACCACAAGACATACGAAAAATTTCTTTTTATGGGAAGTTGCACATGGAAAAAGGCTCAAAGTCTTGGCTTGCCAGCAACAGCAAGATGGACATTTGCAGCGTGAGCTGTGAGTTTAACAGAAGCCACAACACCAGTTCCCACCTCCAAGTTCCAGAGTTCAGAAACTAACAGAGGTCTCCACGTTGCCCTGCCATAACAGCTGGCTCTGCTCTGTCCTTGCTCAGGCTCGTTTTACCCACTTTGACACCATGCACACTCACACTGAGGACACCTCTCTTGTCAGACGGCAGGAACAGGATCTGGCAGCAATTCTTCTCCAGAATATATTAAGTATGTTTTTGGTAAGGGTGTAAGGTCATTGGTTATCTGGCTCCCAATGAACAGATTCAGGATTCCCTCTAGAGAACATTAGATTATAAAGTACTGTTTTCTCCCAGCACTGGCAAATATTGCGGCTGCCTTTTGTTACTTCAGCAGTCCCAGATACAGAAGTCACTGATGGCATAGTGGTAAAGAAGCTGACAATCCTGGTGGGGCACGGATTTGCTATCTTGAACTAAAGTTCAATTGTATCGTGTTGACATGTTAGCAGAAGTTCAATGAGTTAGCAGTGGTGACGTGGGCAGCAGACACAAGCTGGGTCTAGTCTGACTTTTCCACCTGACACATCACTTTGTAACGATAAATGGACAGTTTAATAGTCTTGTCCGAATTTGCCCTCTCAGAACTGTCATTCTGGGGGTTTGAGCACGACCAGCCCAAGAAAAGCTTCAGGACAGGACAAACAGGAGCCCGGTCTCAGGGCAGGTCAGAGGAACAAAGCAGAGTAACCATGCAGCAGCAGTCTGACAGTGGAAGCACAGCTCTGAGCCCACTGGGGCACCATGTGCAGTGCTACACACCCTGGTACCTTCCTGGGGACAGCAACATAAGGAAAAGCAGGGCTGAGGTTTGCTTTCTTGGGGGGGAAAAAGAAAAGGGAGAGAGAAAAACCACAACCACAGACTGAGACCAAGTAAACAGCAGCAGGGAGCCTCTGCCTCAGAGGTGGGTGCAACAGTCGGATCCCAAACACATCCCAGATACTACCAGACATGCTATGGAGACAATGTGCATCATCTCCCTCACACAACTGCCTCCTCCATTGGCCTCCTCTCCCATGAAGCTGGCGCATCATTTCCTTCTTTATCCCTGAAGCAACTGCTCTTGGACAGAGAAAAAGCTGAGCCTCCACCTCCTTGTGACAGCCCCAACCCAAGGTACATCCCAACTCTGCCAAGAAGGATATGGGCGTTCTCTCATAGCCTCAAAATGCCTCATAGCATCACTCAACCCACAGAGTTTAGCCCAGAATTATTCCAGATCCTCAACAAGCATGCTATGCCACCTGGACGAAAGCTGAATACCCAACTGTATTATATTGCAGCAGGCAAAACCATTTCCCAACAGAACTGAAGCAGTTCTGGTACCTCTCACCTAGGCCCATGGGAGACATCACTCCACAAAGAACATCCTATGCTTCCACTGGATGCAGCTCTGCTGAGCCTTGAGAGTGAATCCAGCTATTAGGGTCAAGGTTGCTGGAATTTGCATAAGAGAGGCTGCCTCTGACAAGTCCCTTGGCAAAGAGCTGGAGCAAACAAAGTTCAGATCCAAAGTCTCAGCAAAGGGCCACACAGGCCAGTCTGAGTCTTGAGAATCCAGCAGAATTCACTGAGGTGCCTGTGTGTAACAGTTAAGTCACAGCACAGACTCTTGCCCAGAAGGACAGCAGGCTTCAGAAGTACCCAGCCCAGGTCAATGCAGGCAGCCAATACCCAATGTCACCTATGGCTTGTTCCCATCCCACCAGCGTTCCTAACTGCGACAGGTTTTTATATCACCAACCTATGGTGGCTGGATACAGCCCCTGAGCCAGATGTACCACTGCAGCTGAGCGCAGCCGAGGGCTCCACCCTTTGGGTCTGTCAGATCTACAAAAGTCGATGGGTTGAGAGAACAAAACCCCACCCATGACGGCAAGCCCCTCCCCCCCATGAGACTGCAGCTGTATCAGCAGAAGGGCCCTATTGTTTGCATGAGCCACAAACACATCTTTATTCTCCTGGGCAGCCCATCGTGCAGCTGTGAGCTGCATGAGCTCAGGAGGTTCATCTCTCTGTCACCTAGAGATCTGCATCAGAGCAAAGCCACAGAGCCTTCCACATGCCAACACTCACACCAACCATGCTGTCACTGGGAGAACCTCCCCTTCACCAGGGTAGCCCAGGGACCGGGCAGGCCTGAAAGAGTTGCCCAGTTTGCAAGTGCTGAAGGCCCATCATCACCTGAAGAATACAAAGAAAAAACAGGATCAGTCAGGTTGGAAAGGACCACAGTGGGTCATCTAGTCCAACCACCCTGCTCAAGCAGGGGCATCCTAGAGCACATGGCACAGGATTGCATCCAGAGGGTTCTCAAATATCTCTAGTGAAGGAGACTCCAAAACCTCTCTGGGCAATCTGTTCCAGTGCTCGATCACCTGCACAGTAATGGTTGAACTTATGCTCAGGAGGAACTTCCTGTGCATCAGTTTCTGCCTGTTGCCTCTTGTCCCAATGCCTGGCACCACCGAGAAGAGCCTGGCTCTGTCATCTTGGCACCTCCCTTCAGATACTTATAGACACTGATGAGGTAAAGAACGTGTCGGAGTTCTGGCAACTCGACCTGCCGAAGGGGAACAGACGCGCTCGCGGCAGCAGTGCTTTGAGACACCTGGGGCCGGGCAGGGCTGATCCCCGAGGGGGTGCGTGGCACGGGGAGCGCTGCCCCACTGCGCGGCCGGAAAATCCGGCCGGGTCTGCCGGGGCCGTCCCTGTTCCCGCGGGGGCCCGTCCCTCACCTGCGCAGCTCCTGGATGTCGGGCGGGATGCTGTGGAGCCGGTTGCCGCCGAGGCTGAGGCTGCGCAGCCCGTGGAGCCGCAGCAGCGCGGGCGGCACCTCGGCGAAGCGGTTCCCGCTCAGGTTGAGGACGCGCAGGGAGCGGGCGAGCGGCGCCTGCCCCAGCCCCTTGGGCAGCGACCCGGGCCCGCCCAGCCGGTTGTTCTTGGCCAGCAACGTGTGCAGGCACGGCAGGGACAGCAGCTCCGCGCCCATCTCTGCCAGCCCCGTCCCGCTCACGTCCAGCACCTCCAGCGCCGGGAACCACTGCGACAGCCCGGCGGGCAGCGGGCCCGACAGCCGCCGCGGCGAAAGCACCAGCTGCCGCGCCTCCGCGCTGCGCCGCGCCGACAGTTCGGCCGCCAGCGCCAGCTCCGGCTCCGACTCCAGCTCGGGCTCGGGCTCGGCCGGGCCGCGCCGCGGGAGCTCCAACTCCGGGCCGTCCCCGTCCGCCGCCGCCGCCATCCCGCCCGCACTGACCGACAGTCCCGGCGTCACCCGGGGGCTTCCGAGACGAGCCTCGCCTCGCCCCGCCCCAGACCGCCCCGGAACCTGGATAGCCCCGCCAGCCCCGCGCGGCCCTACGGCGTCATGCTCGATCCCGGGCGCGCCGCCCGCCGAGACGACAGCTGCCCCAGCTGGCGGAGGGGAGCGTGCGCTGCTATGCAGGTTGCGGGGCGCCCGTGGGTGGGCGGCAGAGGGAGCGGGATCCCTTCGGCGGCCCCGGAACGAGCGCAGGGCGGTGAGTGCGGCAGGGCCCCGGCACCGCTGCTCGCCTCCGGGCACCGCCACAGCCCGCGCGCGGCGGGCCGGGCCTGCCGGCTGAGGGAGAACCGCTGGGTGCCCGCGGCGGGACTGGAACTGCCGCCTGCTCCCTGCAAAGTGTTTCACACCAGGCTCGCGGGAGCCAGAACACCAGAGCTCCGAGCCCCTCTAGCTGAAAAATAAACCCCCTAACTTTCCCCCTGCCCCTTTCGTTCACCCCTCAGAGCCCGAAGGAGAGGTACTGCCTGGCCCCGTGTGCCCCGAGGGCTCTCCCCTGTGGCTGGCCCAGCATCCCTGGCCAGCCGGTGTCTTGTCCAAAGGCTGATTTGCTTTTATCCTGCCCGTGCAAGGGGAGGTTGGAACCGGTGATCTTTAAGGTCCCTTCCAATCCAAACCATTCCTTCTTAAAATCCTGGGAAATTCTGGCAGGAGAAATTAAAGTAATGAGGCAGTCCCACTTCGCAGTTGAGCAGTGAACGGGCAAGGAGTGCCACAGAAAAGACTGCAAGCGCAGCAGCTGGTACATGCTAGAGGCCATTTGATGTGAAAAGTAACATGGTGAGGCAATGTTTGTGGGTTGTTTTTTTTTTTTTTAAACAGTTTTGGAAGGAGCACACCAAGGGAAAAAAAGTAAGGCATCTTTCTCTTCTGTTGGACCAACATTTGCACAGAAGTGCTTACAGTAATGGCATTACAGTTATGGTGGAGATGGAGGGTAAGACATTATCCTCCTGTTATAGACCACCATTAAAGGCTATTTCATCATTCAGTTCAGCAAAGGTGACATTAGCCTTTCAGCCCTGCGTTCATAAGGTCATATCAGAAACAGAAGGTCTATTCCTGATAGCTGTTACTCCAGTATCTTCTTAAAACCCATACAGGGAGGAAGTCTGTGTAATAACAAGGAAGCATCTTCTGGTTATTTGCTATCCTTTGACATTCAAAAGCATTCTCTGATATGTCCTCTGGATATGCCTTGAGTACCACAACTGAAAGTAGTGTCCCATCCACCACAGCCAGATGGGCACATTCATCTTGGCAGCAGTCTCCCCCTGAGGACATTTAGATATTTCTTTCTTAACTGTCCCTATGGCTTTTGATCTGTCCTTGCAGGTCACATTTTCAAAGCCTTTAGTTATTATTTTACTTGCCTATGTGTTCTTTCCACCTGATTCCTCAGCTATAAGAGAGAGACAGTCATGTTTCACATTTGTCAAGCACATTGAGATCTGTGTATGAATGCGCAGACTATTTTTTTAATAAGGAAAATGAAGTCATGTGGCTTATGAGAAATAAACCAAACGTATTACTTTTTAAATTTTGTTTCATTTATTTGGCAGTAATATCCAAACCCCCCTGCTTCAAAAAAATTACAAAATCAAGTAAAATAAGTGCACTAAGGAAACCTACAGAATACTGATAAATTTCACACACGTACAGGAGGGACTATAGAAGGAGGAGTGGGACCTTTTTGTTGGTTGCTTAAATTTGGCTTTTTGGAAAAAAAAATGCATTCCCTGCCCCTTGTAGTCTGTACAGCAGTTGTCCTAGAGGGCAATGGCTGAAGTTCAGCACTTTCTTCCCCAGCAGCCACATCACCCTGCAGGAGTTAGCGACCGACCAGCCTGCAGCAAGGTACAGTCTGGGCATGGCTCAGTCTGGGCTGCCCTTCCCCTGTGTGCAGGGAGGTGAGATGTTTCAGTCCCCTTTGGGAACTGTAGCCCTTAGAATGGGCATCGCTTTCCACAGCTGCACGTCCCTTTGGGTGCACGAGAAGGAAGGAAAGACTCCACAGGCGGTAGCCCTTTCCGTGACGGCATAACTGCTGCACTCCCACCCTGCGGCCCCAGGCCACCCTAGGGTCTGTTGTATGGCTTCTCAGAGAGCTCAGCTTGCCTTGCTGGAGTCTGCAGCCCATCCCTCCACCTTCAGTGCAAGAGCAAGCTCTGTAAACCTCAACCACCAGCACACGCCTCTCCTTCTACACCCAGAAGCCACCCTTGTTTAAACTGCACATTCACAGCAGACAGGAAGGGGACTAGAGAACATATCACATTGTGCAGCCTACAGAAGCCCTTAAGCTGTGGATTCGCCTTCCCTTCCTGTGCATGCTCTGGTTCTTAGAGTTGGAAATATTCCTGACTGAACAAGATGTTATCACCATCCATGGAAAGCCCTTAAGGCAAGCTGTTGTGTTTTCTCTAAGGCACTTTAATGATACAAGCTGGAAGGAAGTGAGCTGGGAGGCACTAACTTTTAGAGCAGGGTCGGAATAAGGCAAAACATTTATTAACAATATTCCTGTGACTCCAGATCCAGCACATAAAGCCCTTTCACTCATACTGCTGGGAAAGAGCAAGGCTATGTCTAACAGGTGCTCCTATTTCACCAAGCACTTCTTCCAGTGCCACCAGAACACAAAGAGGGACTTCATCCCAGTGTAGCATTGCCCACATTACCCTCAGTTCCTATGGACTCATTCCCCTCAGCTGCACAGGTGACAGATCAAAGGCAAATCCAGGCCCTCATGAGAAAAAAACCCCAGCTTCCTTCTGTATTTATGATGCCAGAAACTCCATAGCAGGGTACATTATGGTTCACACCGGAGAAGTGGCACTATGCCAAAGTCAATGGAAGTCCTCTGGGTTCACATCAGGAAAAGAGCTCAAAGACCAGACAGCCTTTAACACATCTGGCTCATGGGAAAGAGCACAGGAGGGACCAAGCTTTCTTCTTTTCCTATACTTCTAGGTACCGGCTCATTCTTCCTCTCCAAGGAAAGCACCGTGCAAAAAGGAGAAGGTTGGGACAAAAGTCCTGCTGCTCTTCACTCAGGCAGGACGTGGTTTTGCAGATGCAAGTGGAGTTCTGTTGGAGTAAGCACCAGGGACTGCAAGTCACCCAGCAACAACTGCTGAAGTTGCTCACAAACAGAAGGATGGAAGTCACAAGCAGTCATCTCAGGGTACATGCAACTGCTTGGGAAGCACAGCAAGGCCAGGAAGGGAATGTGGATGTTCGGGTGTGTATGGACTACATTTGACAATGGAAAAATCAGCCAGGCTTGAGGCTACAGAGGTGATGATCAATAAAACACCATTTCATTTATATCTAGGACCAATGCTCTGAGAAAATGGGTCAGATGACACTAACCCATGAAGGGATGTGAGAGCGGTCAAGGATGGTCTGATTAATGACACTGTGAAATGCGTCAGTAATGAGGCTTCCAGCCCTGACTTCAAACTCATACCTGGAATCAAAGAATAATGCTGCTGCCTCACCCCAGAGGAAGATAAAAAGCCCCAAATGATGGCTGACAGCACAACTAAGCATTTTTCTCTGTAGTTAAGCCTTTTAAGATACTCTACTGATGGAACTGCCTGGTTCCTCTGTCTCTACACTGTTTGCAATTCCCTCTGGGCAACTTAGAGAGGCATGAGCAGACTTTGAGCACATGGTCAATGCTAGCTAAGGGAGTGAGAGCTAGAGAGCTGCAGTGTCCATCCATGTCTGGTGAAACTAATTACATCCAGCTCTGTCTCTTCTTCCCATGAGGGACACTGCTATCCCCAGTTGGGGAATACCCTGTAGTGCAAGGCTCACAAGTTGCTCGTGATGTTTGTGGCGGCCGAGCGCAGTGCGATACAAACTGTGCATGGGCATTGCACTGTCAGTAACAAAAACCCACACGCTGGGTTTTCTTGAAACATCTAGAGCTACAAAACATACAAAAGCAGAATTACTACCATAGGAAACAAAATAATAAAAAACCAAAACAAAACAAAAAGGGGGAGTCAGCATGTGAATGTGATAAGAAAAAATTAAGATAGCACCTCTAAGGAGGGGACAGGGAGAGCAAGAGTGAGATGAGGTCAAAAGGAACCATATTGTGTTGGAGCCCACGATGTACTGGAGGAGCTGCTGGGGACAGTCTGGTGGAAAGCAAGGAGGAACGTGCTGGACTCATGCCAGCAGCATGGCACCATGACTCCCAGGTGTCACACCAGGCTGAGCAGCTTCGAGGAGCTTGATCCAAAGGGTAAGATCCTTGGCTGATGATGCCCTGCGGCACATGTGCTCAGCCACAGAACTGCCAGGCCTGTATTTCTGCAGCCAAGGCTGGTGCTGACAATGGTACTGATTGAAGGCCCCCTTTTCTGTCCAGCACTGACCTCCGTCCTTTCCCCAGATCCACGGGAACAAGAAATCCCTGTTAGTTCTTGGAGGGAGCAGCTGTCTGCTCTGGGGAAGGGTCACAGAGGCTGCTGTGAGTCCCTCCCAGCCTTCCAAGGTCCCAGCAATGAAGCTCCCTGAACAGGTGGGCTCTGCTCCCCTTTCCCGGCCCCATTCTCTGTGTATTACAAAACAAATAACCCATCGCTATACATGTAAATATCTGTGACTGGGCAACTGTAGTAGACACTTGTGCATACTGAGATCAGCACTGGAGGACAGGGTGTCAGGATGGGCCCATCCTCCTGGGCTCCTCCGGTGTGGAGGCCCCTTACATCTCCTTGGTGCTCATTCTCTTGGTCTTCTCAGCCGTCTCCTACAGAAAGAGAGCACAGAAGTGAAGCTCTGCACTGACACAGGAACTGGTAGTGCTCTGAAACCTTTGGTCCATCCAGAGGCAATGCCAACACTGGCTCACACCTCAAAGCTCCACACCTGTATTTCTCCACAGAGGCAAGAGATCCCCCTTTACTGTGCCCTCCCTTCTA